AGCAGTGTTAGTAGCATAACCATGGACGCGGAAAGCAGCAGTGCAACAGCACCCCTGATCATGGAGAATACCACTGTTTCCAGGCGACGTCATCCTTTGCGACGTCGGAGATCCAGCATCAGCAACAGCAGTGATGGGGCCAAATTAATTGTCAAAGAAGTAGAACCAGCAAATATAATAAAACACCAAAGGAAAAAGGCTAGTAGTGCTGCCTATTATGCACCGGGTCCAGAATACGACGAGGAATTGCCTTACGGGGGTTTAGTTTATTTGGCCCGGAAGAAAAAGCCTGACGGGGCATTCTGCATCGCACTGCAGGTCAGTTCTTTAACTGTATTCTTCAATGTAAAGTACATAAATAGTACTAGTAACTTTTCTATGTGCAGTTAAATTCTGTAAAAAAAAACTCATCATTAAGAAATGTTCATTACAATGATTTTTTTTCTTTAAAATTTAATTATTATTTTCTATAAAAATTGATTATTAGTTATTTTCTTTAAAAATTGATTACAGTATTATTAATTATTTTCTTTTAAAATTGATTATTATTAATTATTTTCTTTAAAAATTAATTATTATTAAAGTATTAATTATTTTCTTCAAAAATCAACATGTTGGTCACCCAGCAGTTAATGTTGCTCATACTCATACATAACCTCAGTATAACAAATGTTAGCCTTGATTATATGAGCATGGGCCACAGGACATTTTTACCAAGTGACACAATATGAAAAAACAAAACATGTGCAAAATTGAAAAAATAAACCTTTGAAAATGTCTAGTGCTAAACTTCTTGTGCAGAAAATTTAATATGAGCATGGGCCACAGAAAATTTTTACCAAGTGACACAATATGGGAAAACCAAACTTGTGCAAAATTGGAAAAATAAACCTTTGAAAATGGCTAGTGCTAAACTTCTGGTGCAGAAAATTTAGCATTGCAAGAATTGTGAAGCTCTATAAGAATAGACATTCAGCCAGCTTAAATTTAGATGTTGGAAATTATAAGTTATAAACCATGGCAATTCTCCCCATATCATCTCTTGGGGAAGTATTTTTACCAGTTTCCATTATTAAAATTTCAGCCCTATTTCATACATTATATACATGCTCAGCAAACCATAAATCTCAGCAACTTTTTCTCAGGTTCCTGGGAGTTCTTTGTATTGAGATTATGCTGTATAATCCAGTTCCAAATAACTTTACTTGATGTTATGCAAAATTGATGTGTTCCAAAATTCAAGTAGTGTGTACTGTACTGTATAGTTTACAGTTGAAACTCCTATAAGTTGAATTCTCATAAAGGGACCATATAAAAAAACTTTTCGATTCAAGGAAACAGGTTCAAGTTATCAAGGTTCAACTGTGCTGTGTTATTATTCAGAAAATGGTTTACAATATTTATAGTTGAGAGCCCAAATGTGTGTATTCAAATATAATTCATCTAAATTATTGAGCAGCAAACTTAGGTAAAAACAAATCCCTGCACAAGACAGCCCTCATATTCAGTGGAAAATGCACACTTCAAAAATTACAGCAGCTCAATTCATCAATTGTTTTTCTTATGATTCTCTAATATTCAATTTGCCTCTGTAATAAAAAGGATAATGTGCAAAGAAATTTTGAGAATTTCTTGGAAATATAATTGAATGGACAGTCCATAAGCAGTTAAGCACACATATAATAGGATTTCAAATCCATCCAGCATTTTCCCTTTGCAGGAGATTTTCTCAGGCTTTTATCCCATATTCAGCCAAGGAAAATGTAATGAATGCATAATAAACAATCTGAATCAAATTTCCTTCCATCAACCAGCAAATAATGGACCCAAAATATTTTTTGGCAGAATAAACTTTGATTGCCACTATAATTGTTGCTCTGAATAGTATTATATAAATGGACCCCTAATTTGGGTGATTTTACATGAAAAGTTATGAACCTTGGAAAAAAAAAGTTGAGGCAGGAGAGAAATTTTGATGACAGCACATTTTTTTAAATTCTTGCATCAAGTATTTTTCAATCTTGATTTTGGGTATGCGTGGCAGATACATAATATTATTGATTTGTACCATTCTTCAATTCATCCACTCAAGAATTTTCCAAACTCCCCAACTTCTGTTTATAGATCCAAGTTTCCAAGTCCACAAAATATTCCAATCAAAGCAAGTCACACACAAAGATCGGTTTCTTCTCTCCAAAGTTCAGAGCAGGATTGATTGATTCTTCTGCTGTTGGTTTCTCACAGGTCCAGGTCCTCCAGGTTGGCCAGTGGAAAGCTTCTCCAAGGTTTTCACTGGGGTGTGACTAATTTTCTGTTTGCAAATTTCTCAATAACTCTTTTCATCAAGCAATGATTCACTTGATGGAAGGTTTTTCCTGAAGATCAATATCT